TACACATTATTCATTCATCAGTACTGTTAAACACTTTGGCCTCAGTGTTTACCGGTGTCAATCCACAGAGCAGCGCTGTGGCATCTGTGTTTTGTACTTGGCTTCGTATTTTGTTCTCACCGTTTGCCCCGACTTCTCAGGGCTCACTGGGTCTATTAATACCAGCTCGCTCTAAAAATACAGGGCAATGTGTGACCCACTGGGACTAAATAGGAGCTCAGCCTCTTACTGTCGGCACTCTAACACACACACACACACACACACACACAGCAGTCATAACTTCTCACCTGTATTATGGTTGCTGTATCGTTGTCCTGGGATTCCCACTGAAATCAAATCATCCATGAAGTTTCTTAAAATACAACATTCCTGGATGGTCCGCTGAAGAAACATGAATCGAACATCAGTGTTTTCCTTACTTTCTCCACAATTAATTTCACTCATTCATCAAACACTCTGAGAACAGTAATGTCAGTTTCCATTGATGTAGAAGTAAAGCACAGGGTTTGTGTTTGTGTGAAGTGCTTGCCTGCTTTGTGTGTGCTCTGTGCTAATCATCATGCTCCCAAAATGAGTTGGCTTTAGCCGTAAAGACCATGTGCTGCGGATTTTAAATCTCATTGAATTATTTCCATAATTTGTTTGGAGCAGTGTTTGGACGCATCTGGACAACATCCCACTTTTAAATTGGATTTGTTTCCCAAATAGGTTGTGAAAATGTCAAATAAGGAAATGGAGAAATGTTATGCCCCAACACACTTGTTGATTTGATAACAGCTCACCTTTGCAGAGATATATTCCCAGCTGAACTCTGCTTTTAACAGGAGCAGCATGTTTCGTTGAAGGCTTAATAAGTACCTCGCATGCTTTAAAGAACAGTGGACATCAGGGCATGAACATAACAACGCCAGCTCTCGTATTTTAGTTTTCAGTTTCTCTGCTGGCTCCTTGTGTCATGGGCACACATAAACAGGTGTCTGTTGGACAGGCTATCTTTTGGTAAAATTGTGCACATCATTTGGGCTGGAGCCTGTGATGAACCTGCATTCCTTCAGCTTCGTCTGACGTTTCGGGGAATCGGACCCATTGACAGGCATTGTGAATAACTCGCGTTATATAGAATTGGCCTGTCTTTTTGCTGATGGCATCAGTATTTCATTGAGTCAGTTTCATAACCAGTGAATATGTTTTTCCCCCAAACTGTTTGCTGCATATTTGGTCACGACTATTTGAAGGTTATAGATAAGTTTTACCATTTATTAGTACTATTTGAAACCAAGTATTCAGGAGGTTATCATCATCAGTGTCCTTTATCTGCCACTTAAGAGAGGTGTTTATAGTAAGGAGAGACTAAATATTAGAAACACCTCCATATGAGTCAACAAAGACCTGAATATTATAACTTTCATGACGGTAGGATTTAATGAGACTGCTTTAGTTTTAGCTAAGAGTGTAGTTTTTAGAGCAAGTACTTAGAGATATTTGAATTGAGGCAATTCAAACAAGAGACTATTCCAGTGAGTCGGCATCGGTCCACTGAGTTTCCATTTTATTTAAATATTCGCTCAGACAGACTTGTTTGTTGACATTCTCAGATGACTTAGCAGACTCCTGAATGAAACGCAGGATTTTTTTTGATTTATCTGGATAATTTGGATTAACAGAGGCAGTTACCAAGGTTAGTATTTTTTAACTGCCAGCACAAAAATATAATTTTCACCCCTTAAATTACTGTACTCATTTATGCCCTTAAATATAGATTTTGTTTATTTTTTTAAAATCCATATCAATTTTAGCAATTTTATTAAAAGTATATACCATCAAGCTTTTCAGCAGTAGGAGCTGAAGTTACAGGTCATTGTATGACACAGCAGCAAGGTATGTTTCAGTGGAGTAACGCCTTCAACTGACTTTGTTATTACGTCATTCCTTTCATTCCATTTGTCTTCATCCACTTGACGCAGTGTTTGTACTGATGCTACACGGGGCGTTCTTTCAGCTCCAACTGTTTAGTGTTGGTTTGGCTGTGGAGTGCACACATGCCTCTGTACAATGCAGTGAAAGTTGTCTCGTCGTCTTCATGGGTTTATTGCACTTTTTTACTTTATTTCTGCAACTTTATCAACATGAACACAAAAGCTGGACTGAGAATGAATGTTCAAAGCTGCGGGAAAGAGAGCACCTCCTTCAAGGGACATTACCATTTATTTCATAACCTTGTTTATTTTATTGCAGATTAGTTGCATAGCAGCCATGTTGATTTGATCAATGTTACTCAAATGTCCCCATAATTCAGGTGTGGGGCGTTAAATATCTTTTGTTGAGGTCAGAATGTAATGAATGCAGATTACATCAATTAAGTTTGGTGCTGGTTCTCCAAGTGTGTCCGATTAGACGATGCCTTGTATTACAAGAAGAAATGAGAGCTGAACATATGAGTCAGATGTTGCTTGTGTCTGTACTGCTGTTCAATATACAGTAGAGAACCTATAAAAACGATTAAACCCCTTGGCATTTTGTTTCCAGTCCCGCAGCATTGAATCAAATGGATATAATTTTGCTTTTTTTATGATCAAAAGAAAACGAATAAACACGTCAAAGCGTAAACAAATTGGGCCAGGGGCGTGAAGTGGTGGAGCCAATGGCCCCTTTCCCCACTTCCTACCTCGCGTACTCGGCCGTCATTTTGACGTTCCCACTCTGCCACGACACACTTATGTCATCACTGGTGCAACTAGTTGTTTTGAGAAGTTGCCTAACAACTTTAATGGCGATTAGCTGTGTGTAATCAAGATGTGACAATGATTTTTTTTTTGATTAAAAAGGTCTCATTTGAATAACGTACCCTCAGATTACTTAATTTGTTTACTCAAGTTATTCATTTGGGCTCCCGTTTACAGGTGTAGTCCAAAATAAACTCGCATAACACATTGTGGTTTAATTGTATTCTCTTGTCTGCAATGCTCTGAAGCACTTCTCTCCAGATGTTGCAACACAAAGTGGGTCTTGAGACTCTTCCAAATAGAGGAATGTCTTGGCTTGAATAGGGAAACCTGCTTTGTTTGAGACCTGTGACTACTAATGGTTCAGTTAAACATTAATGTGCTCACCAAGAATTGCTAGTCAGGCCAGCACCTTGTCTAGCTACTCTCATAGAAGGTCATGGAACAACATTGATTACATATTATATTATTCATTAAGGGCCGAGCGGTTTAAATAGTTGCAATCCTTTTCATTCTCTGGTGTAGTACCACTTCACAGAACCTAAAAAAACACTTTAAACCCTCTCAAGTAAAAAGTCATCCAGTCTGAGAAAGGCTTTAGCTGTTCTAAAGTCACTGTAATGTTCCTGATTACTTAAATATAGGCTCCATTCCCACGGCAAGGAGTGGGGATAATGGTAGTGCGAGCCCTTACTCCAGGTTTACAAAATGTTTGGATGAGATGCAAGATTCACTCGAGCCTTCTAAGACTCGTGCATTTGCTTCAAAGTTCTTTTACTCTATGTATCTTCCGGGCCCTGTTGATCATATCAACCACAGCAGAAATGACTGGGTAGCTCTACTGAGACCGGTATTCACTTTAGATAGGCCTATCTTTTCTCAACTGTCCACTCGTAGGTCAGCGACTCACCATATGATTAGTCTGCCTCCACTTTGTGTTGCACAAAAGCGAGTGAGTCACACTTTGTCAACAGGAGCGACGTCTGACTGTCCCCGTTTTGAGTTAATGAGTGATGAACTCCTCCAGCCGACGAACAAGGCACCTTTTCTGTGCTGACATGAGCGGGTTTTGGTTAATGACTAATTGCAGCGCTGTGTTTACCATTACCCGTCAAGGTGAGCGAGTGGTACACATGGCTCTGTAAGAGTGGGACAGCTGACCTGAGCGACTAAACCGTGTCGTGTGCGGCGGTGGGATTGTGTCATCGGCCAAAAATGGAAGCCAGTGGAAATGTTTACATGAGATTGCATTATGTCAGTCACATATCTCAGCTGGATGTTTTCAAACAGGCTGGGAGGACTGTTTTGACCAACTATTGTTCACCAACAACAGGTGTGGACCGGTCTTGTTGAGACCTGCAGATAACGAAGAAGTGTTTTAATGCTCTGTGCACAAGCGGCTTTTGTTGGATATGGCAAGAATACATTGTGTACAACTAGTTCGTAGACTGAACACAGATTCTTCCACTCACTGAGAAGCACAGTCCAGTGGCAAAGGTTAAAATCAGAAGCTTGGGGTCATGGACACCGGCAGGTGGTGGTGTCAAGAGGGCGAAAGCTTGCAGCTATAGACTTGAACCCAGAACGAAGCGCAATGTGCTCGGAAGTGTCCTCCATTCTTAATGTTGTGCTTGAATCCTACTCTGTTTAAGGCTGTTTTTAGTCCCTGACATTACCGGGAAAGCTAGAATTGGATATCTTAGAGCTGAGGCGTTGTCATCTGGGCTCTCATGTCACACTAAAATAGATTAAAAAAACAAACGCGGGTAACGCTGATGAACCCATGAGGTGTGGTGGTGTCTAAATAGGCCTAAACTAAAATCTGTAATAAGCAGGTGATGAGTTTTTGTTTTTTTTTGTTGCCTGTTTTTGCTTACACTCACAGTGTGAAACCGAGAGATTCTCTCTGAGTGAGGGAGGGACAGACGGGTATTGCTACAGACAGTGTTGTGGAATGTGTGGTGGAGTTTTTGTGGTTTGCAAAGTGTTTGGAAGGGGGAGGGACCTAAACCACTGCTGAGCTGCTTCTGGGCTGCAGGTCCCTCCCCCAGCTCAAACTCAGTCTTTGCTCTCTTTCCCTTAAAGAAACAGTTACCTCACAGTGTCTCTGTGGCCTTGCGCTCTTATCAATCTTTTGGCTTCTTCTGTCTCTTTTCTGTCTGCGCTCATGAAGTTGATGTTGAGCCACAGGCTGAGGACACACACTGACAGATAGCGCTGACTGTAAAGGTTGCTATCTGGCTCCACTGATGATATTACCCTCTTGTTGTCCCCCAGGTCCATGTGTGGTCAGTGAAGCATCCTGGAGAGCAACATGGCAATGTATCAATTGAGCGTCGGGTTGAGATGAGGTGAGTGAACAGTTAACTCTAAAGACCTAACCCGGAACCAGAGTGTGTTGTCAGTCAGTATTGGCACAATGTAAGGTTTGTGTAGAGTGCTGAAGGGAAGACCTATTTTTGTACCCCAACCCCGGAAGTTAGCATCGCTTTGGTTCCCTTGACAAAAAGCCAATGGGATTCCATTCCATTGGATTTTGGACTATTTCAGAAAATATGCTATGTGGTAAACACAAGTTTATGATACTTACACGTTTTGTTCAGCAAGATAATCTTCACAAATAAAGACCACTTTCAGGATATTTGTAGCGTGAAAGCAATCGCCAGAAGTAAAAAAGGTGTGAGGCTATAAACAAACTACACCACAGTCACATGAGTGCGAGTATACACAACAAGGCTGTGAAGGCGAACTAGTCGGCGAGAAGACGTTTTGTATTCTCATTTAGCCACTTGTGAAAAAAACGCCTTTTGTAACGCACGTAAAATCTTCAAAATTCACAACTGTGGTATTTACTGACGTATTTTATATCGTAGAACAAAACGTTAAAGCCCGTGATAACCACAGACCTTATTCAGGCAGCTAAACAAAAACCCTGACATTCAGACGAGGGAACTGGAATTGCCAAAATGCAAACTCGTGCTTCCTGCAGCACTTTATTACTCCCAGATTAGGCCTTGTAGAGAAATGATGTGAATTTGTCTTTGAACTGTAGGGCCCGATACAGACTTTTATTCTGAAATACTGATGCTCATGATTTTCCTTTTCTCCATCAGTGTCGCCTGTTGGCAATGTGAGCTCCACTGACGAACAGCTTTTCTTCACACCAGACCTCAACCTCAATCACCAGCCAATCAAATGCACCCAGACAATAAACTGGCCAATCATGGCAAGCAGGTCACCGGCGACAGCCGATCCCAAATACCCGGTGTAAACCAACAGGCTCAGCAGCAGCAAGGAGCTGCTGGCCACCTGGGTCCAAAGGGCGTTGGTGCCGGGAGCCATGGAGTCAAAACGAACCAGATTTCCCCCGGCAACCCCGGGCTGAAGGCTGTCAGCCAATCGGTGAGCAGCGTCGGAGGGATGCAGAAAACCAAATCCAAGCGGGAGAGGAGCGTCTCCATCGACTCTGGTGAATCAAGAAATGCCGTTCCTCCAGAGACGGATGCCAAAGGAGGTAAGGCATTCACGCACAGACTAAACTGTGTCAGCGTCTGGGACGTATAGACAGTGTGTCTCTGTTCCAAGTATGCGGAAGTTCACTTCCTTCACCATCCTATCAGCCAAATCTTTACCCGAAATACCAGATTACGTGCATTCACCTCCTCCACAGCAGGAAGTGAATGTAAGGACTGAGAGGACAGAATAACTTGTTTTCTCTCGAGCTGAAAGGCCCTGACCTTTCAGTGAAGCATCAGAATTTCCCCCTGGCTTTTGATAGTTGGCGCCATGCCCGCGCTGCGCTGATGTGTCGCAGATGAAAAGGCATCTGGGCTTTCTGTAGTGCTCAGAGGAAGAGACGGGTCGTGAGCTAGCAAAAACTGAATAAGCATAAAGAGGTTGTTGTTGTTGAATCAGAGACGGTGATTGGGTGGGAAGAGTTAATGTTCTTTTTGTTGTCATTGTCTTGATATATATTTGTGTTTGTGTGGTTCGGTACAGAGTGTTTGATTTGCATTTGTTGGTTGTTATTAACGTGCTTGTGTGTTCACGTGACTGCGGATGACAATGTGATTTTGTGAAACTCATCTGGGCTTCCTGTACATGACTTAAACCTCTTTAAACACACGCACACTCAGAAGCAGAGTCGTGGTTCCAAAATATAGACTGACAGAGGCCAAAAGAGTGAGAGAATGAGAGATAGGGAAATCTGTTCTGGCTTCATTTGACACACACACACACACACACTCTCTGTCTGTCTGTCTCTCTCTTTGTGATCTAGTTTCTGCTTATAGAAGTACATTCAATTGAAACCCAAGCCTCCCACAATTTTACATCAAATCACTCCGCTGCCAAACCTGAAAACACTTGGTGACAAAAGGTGTGAACACAGTTGGGTTTCTTTTCATGTTACTGTTTAAGATAAACCACTAAATGCTGGCAACAAAAACATTCACAGAAGACGAAGTCGGCTCTGTCATACTGCCCGTCTGTGTCAAGGTGGCCGCCCTCCCTCTGCTGTCCTTTTCCCTGTATTGTCACTGCACACATCCTTCCTTCTTTACTTTACATTCACGCGTCTTAAGTCTGTGGTTACCCAAGCTCATCTGATGTGTTTACTGGAAAGTAGTTTTCAGCCACAAAGTCAGTAAGATATCGAGCAATGAACCTTGGAAAATCTCCACTGATTTGTTTATAGAGCTTATCTAAATGTGTTGCCAGTGTGCTTTTCTTTCCTGTCACCATTTAGAGTTCAAAATCAGTACAGAGATGAGAAGAACTGCAAATAATTGCAGTTTTTAATTTTTTACCTGCAAGTATTTAATTTTTAGTTCATTTAAGAATATATATTTATGAGTCAGCTCAGGCTATTTCGGTATTTACAAATGTTTCACAGGACAAAAAGAGCTTCAGTTTAAAGTGGTTCTGACATTTGACATCCTGTTCAGATTTAAAGCTGTAGACTGATCCTACAACTTCCAGCAAGTAAGGCCAAATGTATTAGAGCAGACAGTAGCACATCCGCATCTGGCTGTGGAAAATACTGTGGTGTGTTCAGACCATTAGTGGTGAATGATGCGAAAAAAATAACATTGATAGTACCCTTTAAAGTGTATATGTGTGTGTGTGTGTGTGTGTGTGTGTGTGTGT